GGTGCTACAAGTTCATAGACCTGAGGGCCGAATCTTCGCTCTGTGTTCCACCTTCTCTATGTTTCCTTCTCTGTTTTGGGCAATGATATCGCACCAGAGAAATGTGGCTCCCCTCTCAGTAGTTGTGAAGAATTTCTATGACTTTTTGCTTTTGTATCAATCCTCACTTTTTCATATTTTTGTGGGACCTCTTTCCCTGGGGACAATATATTAACTATATTATTCATTTTTTGCATTTCAAAATGTGTTTGTATTCAATTTAACTTTTTAAGTAGATAAGGTATACATATAGTTCAAAAATATATGAAAAGGTATGCTATAAAAAACTTCCCCTCACCCTCACCTCTTATCTCCTATTCATTTAGTTTCTAGTCGTACTACTTTCAATCTGGTTATCACTGTTATTGCTTTCATGTATAACCTTCCAGAATTTCTCTGTGCATATATAAGCAAAACCATTCTTATTTTTGTTTTTTCTTTTTAAACAAAACAGTATCATACTATGCAAGCTGCACTGGACCATGTTTTTTTACTTGGAGACCTTACTATGTTGGTAAACAGAAAATGTCCTTGTTTTATATATATATATATATATACATATATATATGTATAGACATAGATATAGATATAGATATAGGTATACAGTGCCAAAAATATACACATTTTAAGAAAGGAAAAAAACTGTATTAAAATTGTAATACTCAATATATACTGATAAAAGATGAACACAAGTCATGTGTATATGACGTACATTTTTTTGGCACCCCCAGTATATACATAAATACGTATGTATTCAATTTATCTGAAATTCCTCTCTATTTTATTAAGGAATTCCTTATACTAAGTAAAATCATTTAATATAGTGTTCTTAGTTATTCAGTGAGCCTTAATATTGTTTTTTTAGAGACAGAGTCCATATTCCATATTGTTTCAAGTATTTAAGAGCATTTTCAATTTTATCCAGAAACCTGAAAGATAGCCTTTGTACATTAAGCAAGGCAAACCGTTCTACCAAACAATATTCTAAAAAACGTATGATCCAAGATCAATTAAAACACAATTTTGACAGCCCAAAGTTCTTGACCCCAGATCAGAGATAAAATGTCAAGTATGTACTTACTTGTATCAAAAACCCAGCTTAAATGATCTGTATAACAAAACTTGCTATTTAGGAAAGGTTGTAACATTGTTTTCTGATTTATATGTCACCTATAAATAGAATATATTTTGTGTTTGAGCTTTAAAATAGGTTAAATACATGCATCTCTCTTCAACCTAAAGAAAAAAAAATAGTGAAAACAACCCAGTGGTCTAAGAAAATCATTCTGCCTGAAATAAAACTTTTTCTTTTGAAGACTAAAATAAGAGACATACTTAATTTATACTTATTTTTCATTCTTTCACAGTTTGTTTTACTCATATCAAAATATAAGTTTCAGAAAATTATATCTTCCTATATACTTTTACTCTGCCTGAGAGAGTTTACATTATTGTGATATGTCTCCATAAAACAGCTAAAAGATACATATAATTAATTTTCATTGCCTATGTTGCCACTTCAGGAAAGTTGGGCAGTTTCTCTTAGCATTATCTAATTGTTTTTGGAATATTGCTTTCATATCTCAAAATGTTTCCCATGTTAGCAATACATATTTTCAGCTCTATAGTCTACCCAGTCTTTGGTATTCATATCTACCAGCCCTTGTATACATTACCAAAGCAGAATTCCAAACAGACCCCATACATAGTTTTGTTGTTGGCTTAATTAGCATCCTTCAGATATTTACATTTGTTTAAAAAGAATAGCTTCAGGTAGAGACATTCATCTGCATATAAACAATGTTTTCCACCATCTCCTGTGGCTTCACACGGAAGTCCTGAAACTTTATGTCAACAAAATGGTACAATAGCCCATATATGCACATCTAATAAAAATTCTGAGATGTTTAGACAAACTACATAGTAAAGCAGAAATACCTGATATAAACTTGAGGGTTTAGTAGGAATGGAGCTGAGGTCATAAGGTAAGAAGTAGAGCGGAGCAGATTAGCACCAATAATTATTTTAGAAATCCACTTACAAAGGAAGTGTTCCTGAGGCTTAGTAATAGTGTAGTAGTCAAATCAGTGTTAAGAGTAACCATATAAATGGAATGAAAACTATTCATGATGCTTCACCTTAAAGTAGATATCGAACTAGGCAGAATTTTACTGTCTTCATAGTATTCATTTATAACATTTAAATTACTCTTCATTTCTCTATGCCCCTTCTTTGAATTATTCTTGAGTTACTTCACAAATACCCAGGTTTTCAAAATTCTTTTAATGAACAGGGAAACGCATTCTTCATCTTGACTTACATTGCTTTGTTACTGCCCTTACCATAATGTAATAAAGCTGTCTTTCATCACAGAAAAAGTATTTACTTCTTCATTTAAGGTCATTAATGTGTAATAGATTTTTGTGCAAGAAAACCAATTAGGGATATATTTTGGGCTTCCTGAGTCACTGAAAAACAAAAGCTTGCAAATTCCTCTTTATGTTTGTTCTACTCAGGGATTTAGTCTGCCCCAAATTCTCAAAGACTTTAAAAAAAACAGTTGTTTGCCATTCTGTGTAAATTAGCTTAAGATTACATTTTAAATGCCCCCAAATATTGATTTTAAAAGTCCTTAATTTTTCAAAAGCATAATTTACCCTTTTGAAAGTTTCAATTCCATCTCACAGAGATGTAAAGTGACTTATTCTACATAATAGGAGGCTTATTTTTATACAAAAGATGCCAACATCTGGTGCTTCACTTACTATTAGTTCTAACACAAAGCTAATTTACTCTGATGATTAAGACAGTCGTGCCATACAGTATCGGCACTCATGCTTTTTCTTGCATTCTCTCTAAAGCACTAAATATTTTTTTAATTAAATAAACGAAACTACAAACATTTGATGAGAACTTTAGTGAGAACTCTGATCCTTTTTGTGCCAAATGGGAGAACTTTTAAAATTGACTTTGACTTGTGAGGGTGAAAGCACTTGGAGTTAGTTGTTTAGAGTTTCATAAGCATTATTATCCTCAGTATTTGTGTAACAGTCAGTCAGGCCTTTCTCTTCTCAGATTTCCAATGGCAGCTAGATTATTTCTACCTTCTGCCCATGGTCCCCTGGAGCAAAGCAGGATACACTCACTCTCTTGAGGCTCTGAGAACCCATTTGTTAGGTTACACTTCACGGGAGGTAAATAACACCCTGAAATGTGTGAGTCGATTCATTTCACATGCGCAGGCACTAGTCTCGCAGGGATTATCATGATCACTTGGTTCAATGTAGGAGCAAAACTTTGTGAAACAGTCTTAGTTTTGAAGCAACATCCCATTGATTTATTTTAAGTTTCTCTACAAGTAGACTTGTATTCGTCAATTATTAGAAGCTTCATCTAAGACAGGCTCATCACTTAAATGTTTAACAGTAACAACAAAAAAGAGCCTGAGAAATGTGAAAGCATTGATAATACCCTAACAGTATGAGCATGAGTCTATGTCACCAGTAACAGTTAGAAGCACTGTCTGTGTAACCAATTACTTTTCAATTATTTCTTCATAGGATGAGATTTAATAAAAATGGCTTATTCTGTAATAACTCATTTCTCTTGTCAAATACTGAGAAGAGAATTGGAAAACAAGCAAACAGAAGAACATGATCCATAGATTATTTATTCATTAATTCAACAAATAATCATGGAATGGTAACTATATTCCAGATATTGTCATTAAGTGCTGGGAACATTTGTATAATCTATATTCAGTCACTTATTAATACATTTCTAACTGTTCCCTTAAATTAGGCCATTTATTTATAGGTAAGATGGTATTCACTCCATTTCTTAACATTCCCTTAAAAAATAAGTATTCTTACTTTATTTCACTGGGCAAAAAATATCCCTTACACATGTAATATTTTCTTTTCCTCCTTAACCATAGGTACAATCAGAAAGGCACCAGTATGGGTAAAGCTTCCTGTAGAGAAAAGCTTCCCCAAAATAACCTTTAATATGATGGTTTGTAATCACAAAGCAATGTTCTTAATTTTCTTCTCCTTGGGCACATTTTAAGTTTGTACAAGTGACTGTTTTGAAAAGCTAAAAAAAAAAAAAGAGAAAAACCAAAAGGCAAACAGGAAAACTTTGATTTTAAAAATCCATTGTTAAGTTGATCATTGATAGTATAGTTTTACCAATTTTTACTAATTATCTTGTGCTAGGAAATGAACAATAACCTATTTTTAATGCTTGGTAACTCATTCAAGATTTTCAGTAGTTTTGCTTCTCCTTGAAAGCCTTAATTAGTAGGAGTCTATTAAATGTAACTAAAAATAAAAAATACAAGATTGAAAAACTACCCAGATGTTTGTGCTCAAATAGAGATTATCTTTCCTTTATATTTTCCCCCTGTTTTTCACCAACTCAATTTACAGAGTTCTTTTGACCGTGACCATTTTGCAGGGTCCTAACATGTATATCTTACCTGTACTTAGGTACATTTTAATTACTCTTTTTCTTTATACTGGCTAACTTTTTGAAAATAGTAATAATTTAAATACTTAAATAATTTCCCAAAATGTATTAAATGCTTATACTTGAAGATTTTAACCTTCTAGATCTTTAGTGATTTATATTGAATCAAAGCATTTGTAAAGGTTTTATATTAACACCAAGACTTCAGGTTTATAAATTTAAATGAAAACTGGTAATGGGTAAAAAAGAATAGAGCGTACATATGGTAAATAATTACCAATGTAACTATTTTAAATTTTATTTGGAGTTGCAGCATTTTCATATATTTTAATCATCACAACAATATAAAGCAAGTAGGCTCATAAACATTGAAAAATTATACCCCATTAGTTTAGTTTTTCTTTTGTCAATTTAAATGAAGACTATATCTTGAACATTTTTCAAAATTTTGATACATATATCAATATGATCTGCATTTTTATTTTTCTAGATTTAAGCTTTTACATGCTATAGGTATTTTTTCTCAAGCTCATATAACTCAAAAATATTTTTAAGCAAGGATGTTCATCACAGCATTGTTTACAAATGTAGAAAACATTGAAAAAACATAGAAATCTTATTCAATAATGAACTACTTAGAGAAGTTATAGTACATCCACGCAATGGAATACTGCAGTCACTAAAATTATGATAAAGATCAATGTTTATTGACATGAAAAGATGATTAGGATTTAGTTTAAAATTTTAAAAAAACACCTAACAGTACATATGGTATGTTTTCTTTTTGTTTATAAAACTGTATACATAGCAAAAAAAAGGCATAGGAGGATATGCATGTACTGAAAATATTAATAGCAATTATCTCTGAACTGTGGGAATTTTCCTTCCTTCTTTATAAATTTTAGCATTGTGTACATTTTCTTAGAATCAGCATGTATTATTGTTTACATTTTTTAAAAAACAGTGATTTCCATTTGAAAATAATTGACAATGTACATGTAATTTGTAGATAATCACATAAAGACAGCTTATTCTCATGATTTTGTGGGCAAATTACTAACAAAAGTGTGAACAAATTATATATTTACATTGAATTATGTATGAAACCAAAGATTTCTATATAAAGCAATAAAACCCAACTGAGAATAGAGACAGAACATTTTTTTTATGGTTGGATCAGGGTATGAATGAATCACATTTTTAAAAGTAATTATTTAAATTTTACATAAATTAAGTATTTCTTTCTCTACTTCCAAAATGGATTTGAACTGGCATATATTAAAAGAAAGGCAGTCCACAAAAAACATAAAAGTAAGAGTAATCAGGATGCAGGGTAGAGGCATGGGAAGAAGAGGGAACTGCAAGTGAAATACAGAAAATCTGTAATCTAGAAATTACAGGCTAAACAACGTAACTGTAACACAGAGGAGAACATTTTGTCACAACTTCCAAGCAACCAGACAGAAAGAGCTCTGTAGTGAATTAATAGTGCTCATGTGATAGATGGAGGCATGTGATTTATTCAAGAGTGACAACCTTTTCCTTAACTTTGAAACATGCGTGAATATTATCACATGGACATATTCAACACTTTACAAATGGTAACAAGTTTAATAGAAGATGTTCTTCAAAGTACTTTTTAAACATGATTATATGTATTATTTATCTTTTATATTGACAAAATAATAGCTGAAGGTAGCATCTTAAGATTATCTATATGTGAAGGCAATTCAGTGCAGTTAAGTCATCTTTCTTGTTAATTTAACATTATCCAAGTATACATACAAAGGACTTTAGAAAAGTGAGTGGTAAGAATGCTCCTTAGACTGTCCTCAAATATCAAATTTCTCAGGAAAGGTTTTTAAAATGAAACTCATAATTTAAATAATGAATGCCTGAAGTGTTAGTTTTCTAAGGTACTGTTTGAGAAAACTCCCAACACTTGGTTAAAGCCACTATTAAATGTGTGGTATACCCAAAATATATATTTTAAAAAGGCAAATAATATAAATAAATAAAGGGAAGGAAAAAAAGCTCACATCTTATTCACTCATATTAAGTAATAATTTAAAGTGAAATTATGCACAAATGACAACTGGATCACATCCATTTTCCCCTGCACTATTGATTTCTCAAAAAGCAAATTGGACTTTCTCACTGTGATACACTCAGAAGTAAGGACCATTTTAAAAATATTTTCATTGAAGAAATCAAATTTAGTAGTATTATTGAAATAAGGAAGAAAATACACTCAATCAACTACCTCACCTTGACTCATGTAGAAAAACCAAAAATGTGTGGAGGAATAAACTTTATTTTCCATATTCCTAAGACTATTATATCAAAAAATAGTACAAAATGACAGTTTTACAGTTAGAAATTATGTTTTTCACTAAAAGGAACAGGATTTCTAGTTTCACATTTGTTTCAAAAGAAAATATTCACTTCAAAAAAAAACCTGTGAATTGGCATAAAATAACCTTTTATCACAAAGTAGCCCAAACTAAGTAGGCACCAGCTTAAGGCTGACACAAACTGCGCATTCTTACTCTCACCACCTGCGCCTGGCCTGGCCCAGGGTGACATGCAGGGGTTTGGAGCCCATCATGCGACCATTCATCTCATCCACTGCTTTGGTAGCCTCTTCAAAAGAGGAGAAGCAAACAACACCAAACCCTTTGCCTTGCCCCACTTCCACCATCACTTTGGCTCGGCTAATTGATCCAAAGGAGGAAAATTCCTCCTTCAGTTTTTCATCACTGATGGTCTCATCCAGGTTCTTAATATAGATAGGCACCCCTGGAGGCCGACTTTTTTCTTTTAATCTCAGCCGTTCAAATCTTCGCCTCAACTCAGCCAGACGTTCAATTTTCTTCTGCGCTCTCCCCACATAGAGGACTTTCCCATCGATGGACTTCCCATGCAGGTCTAGCACAGCCTTTTGGGCAGCCTCGTGTGTCTCATATCTCACAAATCCAAAGCCTTTAGATTTCCCACTGGCATCCCTTATTACCTTAACACTCTCGGTCGGCCCATACTCACTGAACATGTCCTTCAGCTTTTCGTCATCCATTTCCTCTCCAAAGTTTTTAACAAAAACATTGGTGAAAGTTGCTCTATCCCTGGTTCTGACTTCCGCCGCCCGCTCTTCCGGAAATTTGAATCGGCCAACATACACCTGGCGGTTGTTGAGCCGCACTCCGTTCATGTGCCAGATGGCTCGATTGGCAGCCGCCAGGCTGTCAAAGTGGACATAGGCATAACCCTTGGAGCCGTTGTCATCACATACAACTTTGCAGGAGAGAATGTTCCCAAAAGCAGAAAATAAATAAAAGAGGGCCCTGTTGTCTATGGATTTGTCCAGATTTTTGATGAATATATTTCCAACTCCAGACTTTCTTAAGCGGTCATCGGGCTGAGACCACATGAGGCGGAATGGCTTGCCATTAATCAAATCAAAATTCATGGTGTTCAGGGCCCACTCAGCATCCGCAGGAAAGCGGAAGTTAACATAGCCATAGCCCAGGGGGCTGCGGGTCACCGGGTCACGACAGATTCGGGTGAAGCGCAGAGGGCCAGCAGGCCTGAACTTTTTATATAGCATGTCCTCGGTGACATCTGGGTCCAAGTCACCCACATACAGGGCAGCCTTGAGGTACTTCTTTTTCTTGCCAGCAGGGTTAGGCTCCCCACTCCCCATCTCTCTGAGCACAGGGAAGAGGCTCTCGTGGGAGAGGAAAAAGGCTGCTTTCTCTAAGCTATGGGCCCAGCAGCTGTTCACGAACAGAAAAAAGCCAAGGCGAAGGAAGCTAAAAGCAGACTCAGAAACCCTGTTGAGGCTGAGAAAATGAAGTTCAGAAACACCTGGTCAGCAGGCTCAGAACAATCGCATCAGACAAAAAGGCACCCCATTAAGGACTCTGTTCTACCTAAAGGACTTAAAATTCCCACCCATTCAGATTTAAATTCCGTCTCAAAAGCCAGTCGTAAGAAAGAAATCTCCCTTTCCCTGTTAAATGGTAAGAAATCATCAAGCAGCTGGCTGGCGCCCCACATCTAACATTGCAGGCTGAGGCCTCACGACCCGTTTTCTGCATAAATATAGGCCTCGAGCTCCTGTTGGCTTAAAATTACATCAACAAGAGCAGGAGCCGAACGTGTATTCCTCCGCTGGCTGCCTGGCGGGTCTCAGGCGGGCTCCCAGCTAACTAAGGCCGCTACACACACTCAGCGTCAGCGAAAGGGCAGACTGGGCACTTGGTGCGCTGGGCCGGCAGGCAGGCTGCAGGCGGCGGATCAGACACAGAGACAGACAGACACACACACACACGCGCGCGCGGGGGACCGGAGACCGCCCAGATACCCAAGATGCCCACTGGGTACGGACCGAGTGACGCGCGGTGATTTCGGCAGCCTGAGACTCGCGGCGGATCCGGAGGGACTGACTGGCAGACGCGCACTGGGTCAGCTCAGACGCGAGGCGGTTCCGGACAGATGCGGGGCGGAGTCAGAGGAGAAGGGCAGATGCGCGGCGGGCGGGCAGAGCGCAGTCGGATGGACAGGGATTGCTCTCTGCAGGACAGACCGACCCAGGGAAGAAAAGCCTCTAGCTGTGGAAGGGCGGGGCGCGAGAAAACCCGGAACCGTGCTAAGTAACTTCCCGCTGCTCTGTGCCAAGATTTTGAAAAAAAGAAAGAAAAATTAAAATGGTTTTAAGATTTTTTTTCTTTTCTTATTTTTGAAGTTTTATGTATTTATTATTTTAAATTATTATCTTTAGGCTGTTGATCCCCAAATCAGAGGAGGTGACTTAGGCAGAAAGAACTCTCATAAGTTTTTTTGTTTTTTGTTTTTTTTTTGTTTTTTAACAAATTCCTAAATCATTTCTGCTTAGGAAATAGGATATAAGTTGCATGCTTTTCCTGAGTGCATTAGAAAGTCAGAACTGACAGCTGTGCTGGACTCCCAGTCCACTGCTAAATGATCACAGGGTCGAAGAAAACACAGGGCCATGTTGTGTTTGGCTTTTATCCTTACTCCATTAAACTCTAGCATAATGGTAGCATTATCCCCAGGTAGTAGGCAGAGTTCTTTTCACTGCTCTAGTAATACTGAGGTTTTAATGATTGGAGAGTCGTAAAATGGCTTTTAATGGGACTCAGTACCACAAAACGTTGAAGATGTGCTGCTTCCATAACAACAAATTACAAAATCTTAGTTAAAAAGATAAAAGCTGCAGAATCAATGCAAAATACATGATTAATGTTCGCAGCTAAAACAAACATAAAGATATAGGCACTTTGCACAATTAATTACGAATTTCAACATGAGTTGTCAACTTTAAATCATTGCAGGAAATAATGCTATGAGATTACACTCAATTCAGTGGTTTTCCAGGATTTCTTTAGAGTTTGTGAGAAACTGTTTTAGAGAGGAATGTTGCCCTGTCTTGGGAAAATCGCCAGTGTTTATAACGTATAACTCCTCATGCAACCCCTTCCAAAAACCCTCCCCTCAAAAAGAAAATCCAGACAAAACATATATCAGTACTATTAGGCTAGAAAAGATGCTGGCAAGACAAGGACACCACCTTAAAGAGTGTTGCCTTTAGAAGAAATTCTTAGAGTAACAGGCTAAATTCATGTTCTGCTTCTTTTTTTTTTTTTACATTCGCTATTAAACTGTATTGTTGACTAATGATGACAATTTACACTCATTATTCAAATATTTAGTAACTTTTTTATTGAACTCTTGTGCTTGCTTTCTAGAGTTCTTGCTTAGCTAGGACATAGAGACTGTTTGAGAAAAATCAAATAAAAACAAAAAAGATTATAGAGATAGACTAGTAAAAACTGGTCTTACAACATGATTACAGTGACCAACATGTAGAAACACTAGTGAACACCTGCTTAGTTTATTGTATTTTGAACATAATTTTTATAATCATCTTTTCTGATAAGCCTAATTAACAATGAACTTTTTAATTAACTTCTGGTTTTTTTTTCATTTAAAAATATTACTTTACTGAAAATGCTATATTCAGTGAAACAACAAATCTAAGAGAATAACTCCCACAATACTGTTACTGAATCAGATCAGTATTTTATCCATTTATGTAACCATCTAAATGTCCATGTTCCAATTCATTTGGATATATTTTCTCCAAGATAGTTACAATTGAGTTGTTAAAAGTAGCTATTTTCAAAATAACCTCCTCTCTACACTTACCAGCCATTTTGGGGTGATTGCAGTATAAATCCTCTAAACTATGGCAACCTTTTTATTAGATCAGAAAACTTTTAAAATTAGCATTGCTTTGAAACAAATGAATTCTGGAGTGTTCTCTCTGCTAAGCAGAGGTTTATGGAAAAAAAGGAAAGCATTTTCATCTATAATTTGTTTAATCATTTTAATGTTTACATTGAGAAGAGCCTTTGGGATAAAAATCAGATATAGAACAGTTCTTTGTCATTTTCATTGTATGTTAAAGGCAAGTTAATAGTCTATGTAAATCTGATTTACATATTAAATCTACTAAAAATCCCCACCCAGATTCCTAAAGCAGTTGGTTGAAGCATATCTGAGTCTTTCTAAATCTGAGAAACATTTTGCATGAGGAAGGAATCAAGGACAACTGGCACTCTATGTGCATCCTATCACACATTGTTATTTACAGTTGATACTAATGTAACAGCGTGAGTGGAAGAATAGTTGGGAATTAATCTTTCGGCCTTGTCTTAACAGGCACCTGATCCTACGTTTCCAATTAAAAGTCTCAGCTGTACAAGTTTCTGAGGCTTCATAATGAAAGTAAATTTGCTACACCCTTGAATGAAGTCTGGGGTGGCTGAACAAATATTTTAAAGGAAAAACTTTATTGCCTAGAACTTGGCTCATATTTTTTTGGACAAAGAGAGGAAAATGGCAAGAAAACAATTTGACCTTAAGAATGTAGTTTAAACAGGCATTTCTACAGTAAATTTTGGAGACAGTAGCAATTCTTTTCCCCTAGTTCCAAACATTTTATCTTCAGCCATGAACACTTATATCCTGGATGATAATCCTGAAGGCCCTTTGGTAAGATTAGTTATCAAAGAAAGACTAGATTGTGTTCATTAGAATGTACTTACCAAAGTGAGACAGTGACCACAACTGGAAAAGTTTCCACATAGTTTACAATGGAATGAGATTCATGCTAAATTGTTAATAAGCCAGAGTACCTCATTCTTCAAAATTTCAGTATTTTTAAATTATAAAACTACAATTTAGATATTAATCAAGTGTGTAGCTATAAAAAGTTTAACATTCGTCTCTTTTTTTTTTAAGATTTTATTGGGGAATTGGGGGAGGGGAACAGTGCTGGGGAATTGGGGAAGAGGAACAGACAAGTTGTTGTCTTTTTGTTTTTCAGTCTAGTTGTGGAGGATGCCGCTTCACTGGCCCATGTTGGTGTTATGATTATTGTGCTCTTCCCGGCTGAGGCAGTTGGTCGCCAGCCATTGGACCGCCGCTCACGGCGGCTCACAGCTCACACCTGCTGCCGGCTGCGCACGCTGGTTGCCAGCCACTCATGGTAGCTCATCACAGCCCAGCTCCAGGTTGAGCTGTTGTTCACAATCTTAGCCTAAGGGCGCAGCTCACTGGCACTTGTGGGAATCGAACCGGCAGCCCTGTTGTTCAGAGCTCGCACTCTTAACAACTGAGCCATTCGGACGGCCCCCTTAACATTTGTCTCTTTTTTCATTTGTCTCATAAACTAAATCTGTGTTGAATTAAAAAGTCATGCATTTAACTGTGAACAAATCTGAGTATTAAAAATAATAATAAAAATAATATAACAATTTTGTACATATTTAGGTTTAGTTATGTGTGTCCTTAAGGTGTTCTTTAGTTTGATCCTCTTAAAATAATTCTATAGAATACTACATGTGAGTTTATGGAATTGCTATGTATTCACAACCGTCTATTTATAGTTTTCTATAGCATATATGAGGTAGACTCAAAGTATTTTCTATTATAGTGTATTGAAATAAGTTAGGAGTATCACCCACTTGGCAGATACTCTGAAACAAATTTTTCTTCTTCTAAGGCCTCTTTACTGAACATATGTCTCACACAGGGAAAATATACACACACCACATTCGCTGATTAAAAATCTTGAGTTATAGTCATTACACTTGACCTGAAAATAATCAAATAATTTTTTAAAAATTAAAACTTTATGCTTCATTTTTATTTCCTTTCTTTAATTTAAGTGTAACTGGTATACAATCTTATATTGGCTATATTAGTTCCAGATGTACAGTATAATGACTTGACATTTTTATACCTTACATTGTACTCGTAAGCACCCCACTAATTCTAGTCATGATGTCACTGTGCAAACTTATCACAATATTATCATTATTTTTAATTTTTATTAATTTTATTAGGGTGACTTTGGTTAGTAAAATTATATAAGTTCTCAATACCTTTCTCTCTCTCTTCTCCTTGTGATACTTCCATGATATGAATGTTGTTATGCTTGATGTTGTCCCAGAGGTCTCTTAAACTGCCCTGATTTTTTTTGGATCCTTTTTTCTTTTTGCTGTTCCAATTGTGTGCTCTATGCTACCTTGTCTTCCAAATCGCTGATTCGATCCTCTGCTTCATCTAGGCTGCTGGTGATTCCTTCTAGTGCATTCTTCATTTCAGTTATTGTATTCTTCACTTTCTACTGGTTCTTTTTTATGGTTTCTATGTCCTTTTTAATGTTTGCTATCTCTTTGTTGACATTCTCATTAAGTTCCTTGAGGATCCGTATAACCAGTGTTTTGAACTCTGTCTCTGGTAGGTTGCTTGCCTCCAATTCATTTAGTTCTTTTTCCAGGAATTTTCTCCTGTTCTTTCATTTGGGACTATTTCTTTGTTTTCTCATTTTGGCAGCCTCTCCATTTGTTTCTATGTATTGGGTAGATCTGCTATGTCTTCCGGTCTTACTGGGTGGCCTTATGGAGTAGAAATCCTGTGGGGCCCAGTGGCACAGTCTCCCTGGTCACCTGAGCTGAGTGCTCCACGAGTGTCCCTTGTGTGGCTTTGTGTACCCTCCTTTTATAGTTGAGCCTTGATTACTGTTGGCATGTCAGTGGGTGGGATTGACCCTCAGACTAATTTGCTGTGGGGTTTAGCCATGTCCACAGCTCATGGGCTGCTGTATAGGGGCCTTACTCCATGGAACGGGATTTGCCCCAGTAGGCTCTGGTGCCTGTAGAGCCTGCCCTTTGTGTGTGTCATTTATGGGGCTAATTGCGTGGTGCTCCACTGTGGTCTAAAGACAACCTCCAAGTATGTATGTTCTGGTGCCTCTTGGGAGGGTCTCTGTTGCAGGCCCAGGTCACCCATTGCCTATGACTGGCTGGGGAGAACCTGGTAGGAGCTACAAAGCAATCCACAGTTGGTTGCTGCCTGTGCTAAACCTGGAGGTACATGGGAGAGGCCACACTGCAAACCAAAGATGTCTACCACCAGTGTTGGGCCTAGGGTAGTTCTGCAAAAAGCCAGGACACTCTGAGGCCTATTGCCACCTGCTGGCTTCCAGAAGTTTCAGCCTCTGATGAAGCCTCCAGTTGTACACAAGTTAGGTGAGGCAGGGTCTCAGTGAGTTAGCAGATCAGAGCTGCAGAGCT